TTTTATATATTTTGGTGGTCCTTGGTTGGGTGTATTTATGTTAATAAATGTTATTTTTTCTTGATGTAGTGCTCCCTTTATCATCATAAATTGTTCACCTTTGTCCCTTGTTATCTTGAAAATCGATTTTGTCATATATACGTAATGCTATAACTGCTTTTCTATAGATTTGCTTGCAGAATCACTTTCCACCCTTTTATTTTGCAGCTTAGATGTGTCTATTATAAAAATCATATGGTTGTGTTTTGTTTTATTTATTCACTCTGCTATTCTGTGCAACTTTCTTGGTGAATTTATACCATTTATTTTACCTTTAGGGTAATTACTGACAAATGAGAATGTCCAACAGCCATTTTACCTTTTGTTTTCTGGTTAGCTTTGTGCCTCCATTTTTTAAAATTTGTGTTTCTATCTGTGTGTTTTTGTTTGGTGGTATTTCATACTTCTTTCCTCTGTTTCCAATTTTTTTTAAAGCTCTGTCCTATTTTGGGAACTTAGTGTGTGGTTACCATTAGGTTTCTAAAAAATAAAGTTTCATATATACCTTAGTTTATTTTTTTAAGTGCATCTCATCTTTTTGTTACTATGACAGCTTAGACTTTCACCCTTCCCCTTTTATGTTTTTGTTATCACAAACTATGCCTGTTTATGCTGTAAGTTTTTGGTGATCTTATTCATAGTGTTGTGACCTTATGTTCTTTGTTTCAGGTAGAATAAAGCCCTTGAACATTTCCTGCAATGGGTGTTTTCTGGTAATAAAATTCCTCAACTTCTGTATGTCTAGAACATCTTTATTTCTCCTTCATATTAAAAAAATTTTTTTGCTGGATATATTATTTGTGGCTAGTAATTTCACTTTTTCTGACGCGTGTCTATTTGCTTCCACACTCTTTTGGCTTGTATAGTTTCTGCTGAGAAGTCTGATGGCATTCTGGTGGGTTTTTCTTTGTAAGTCCCTTCCTTCTTTTCACTGGCTGCTTTGAGAATTTTTCATTGGTCATTAATTTTTGACAGTTTTAATATGAAGAGCGCTGGAGAAAACCTCTTTGGATTGAGGTAACTGGGTGCTCTGTTTGCTTCTTGGAATCAAGGAGCTAGTTCTTTCCATAGATTTGGGAAGTTATCACCCACTATTTGTTTGAATAGACTCTTTATTGTTGCCACCTCTCTCTCTTCCTCCACTGGAATGCCTATTATTCTAATACTAGAGGCCTAGTGCACAAAATTTGTGCATGGGGGTGTCCCTAAGCCCAGTCTTCACCATCTACAATTGGGGACATCCCTCTCGCAATCCAAGACTGCTGGCTCCCAACTGCTTGCCTGATTGCCTTCCTGATTGCCCCTAACCACTTTTGCCTGCCAGCCTGATCACCCTCTAACCACTCCCCTGCCAGCCTAATTTATGTCTAACTGCTCTCCTGCCAGCCTGTTTGCCCCCAACTTCCATCCTCTGCCTGCCTGGTCAACTCTAACTGCCCTCCCCTGCTGGCCTGATCATCCACAACTGCCCTCCCTTGCAGGCCTGGTCCCTCCCAACTACCCTCCCCTACTGGTCATCATGTGGTGGCCATCTTGTGTCCACATGGGGGCAGTATCTTTGACCACATGGGGGCAGCCATCTTGTGTGTTGGAGTGATGGTCAATCTGTATATTACTCTTTTATTAGATAGGATAGAGGCCTGGTGCATAGGTGGGGGCCAGCTGGTTTGCCCTGAAGGGTGTCCTGGATCAGGGTGGAGGTTCCCTTAGGGCATGGTGCAGCCTAGGTGAGGGGCCTGTGGTAGTTTGCAGGCTGGCCACCCCCCATCCCCCGGAGAGACCGAAGCAGAGGCCCTGGTATCTGGGATTTATTTATCTTCTACAATTGAAACTAGGTAGACTGGAGTGACGCCAAGCCTTCTGCTCTCTATGTGGTGACAGGGGATTTATTTACCTTCTATAATTAAAACTTTGTAGCCTTAAGTGGAGGCCTGGACGGGCCAGGGTATGAGGAAAGCTGGCTTCCTCCATTGCCTGGGAAACGCAAGCCTCCCCCCTGCTTTCTCTGTGGCCACAGCCATTTTAGTTGAGTTAATTTGCATACTCTCTCTGATTGGTTGGTGGACGTGGCTTGTTGGTATAGCAGAGTGGTGGTTAATTTGCATATTACTCTTTTAGTAGATAGGATTGCTTTTTCTGATGGTGTCAGATAGTTCTTGTAGACCTCTTTCATTTTTTTTCTTTTTAATGCTTAGGTCTCTCTTTTCTTCCCTATGCATCATTTCTACATTCTTCTCTTCAATATCACTAATTATTCCCTCCATCAGCTTAGCTCTGTTTTTTATGCTTAGTAGTTCACTCTTAAACTTATTAGTGCTTCATTTCCATGGGTTTTCATTGGTTCTTTTTCAAAGTTTCAATCTCATTGGTGAAGCAGTTGATTTGTTTATTGATATGTTTTCTGAGTGCATTGAACTGCCTGTCTACTTCCTCACATCCTATTATTTTCTGAACTACAATCTTGAAATCTGTCTTTTATATCACATATTTCTATGTGTCTTAGCTTGCTTTCTGGAGATTTTTCATTTTCTTTCTGATCATTCTTGTTACAATGATTATTCATGGTCTTTGCTGTTCTCTTTGCCTAGACATTTATATCTGTCCATATTAATGGTGGACAATAGCTTCATCTGAAGAGGATTTTCTACTATTTTCCAGTAGATTGTGCTGATCTATAAGATGTTTTAGCTCTGTGATCTCCTAGTTTTGACACAAAGCTTCCTTCAGACTGTATAGCTGCACAGCTTGGAGGGTGGGGTTTGTTTTGTCCTCAACATAATGGCAAACCCTGATCCCCTGGGGACCTGTCCCAAGCACCCCACATGGGGATCATTACAGAGGGAATCAGCAGTTCTACTGAAATAGATCTTGGTTTACAGATAATGTGATCCTTGACCCAAATCCAAGAGCAAGGGGAGAATTTAGGGAATCCGAATGGCCACAGTGCTCTGTGGTTCCATTTTTTGTCAAAAACACTACTGCCCTGCCCAACATTAGAGAGTTACAGAACAGAACCCCTTGCTTTGTTAGGTATCTGCTCCCTCCTCTGCCTGTTGGACTGAACCCAGCAATTCTTTGTTCCTTCCAGCCACTGGCAGTGCCTGGAACAACTAGGTCCCTTTCTTCTCCCAGATGCGCTGCAAGCTCCAAGCTGCAGGGCTGTATCTTTGCTTTCCTCCCTTCTCATATCCCAGTTTATTATCGGTTGCCCACCTTTAAATGTTTCTATGTATATGTCTCTCAAGTGTGTCTCTGTATCGAGCAGGGAATTCTTTGTTGAATTATAATTGGTTTACTTGTTGTAATTTCACTGGGAGAGGCCAAGGGGATCTCTCACACTTTCATTTCTCTTATGTCCACAATTTTCATTTATATTTACATAAACATGCCACTGTTTTTTTTTTTAAATTTAAATTAAGACCAAGGAATATAAACTGTTAAGATATAAAAATGATGGAGCCTGGCTGGTGTTGTTCAATGATTGAGCATCAACCTATAGATCAGGAGGTCTCCCTTCCATTCCCATTAAGGACACATGTCTGGGTTGCTGGTTTGATGTCCAGTAGGGGGTGTGCACAAGGCAGTCAATCAATAATTCTCTCTAATTGTTGATGTTTCTAACTCTCCCTCTCTCGTCCCCTATGAATACAATACAAATGAAAAATAAAGAATGATGACAAATAAAAATTTCCAATTTCTCTAGGTATGGGGAAAAGGAAGAGTAGAAAAGCATTTTAAAAAATTACAAGGGTTTACAAGACACCAAAAGAGGATGCAACAAATATATAAAAGGGAACTCACATGTACTATGTTAATTGACTGGCGATTTAGGGTATTAATACTAATGACTTCCACCAAAAATAAAAATAGCCTTCTAAACTATGTTCCATAAGCCATATGTTATGATGATTTAATCATTTAATAGTGGCTGTCTGCATATGCCCTAGAATTTAAGAGATTGTTTTCTTTTGAAAAAAATTTCAATACCAATAATAGTATTAGAAAAGAAAAAAAATTACCTATCATTATTCATAGTACATAAAATACATAAAGCAATGTGTTAAATAGACAATAAAAATGGGTTTTTCTAAGAAAAGTTTATTAGTCTAAGAATTGCAGCTTAAAAATTTATTATACTTAATGGAAATTTGCATGTTTCTATTTTCATGTTCTCTCAAATATTAGTGAAATATCTGTACAAAAACATTCACTTATTAATAAATGTAATCTGTCCTAACACATGACAGAGAACCACTTGAAATTTAAAAAAAATCTTAAATTCTTTAGAATTATTTTTTAATAAGAACTGCTGTATCATTCATCCATTTTCCTCTTTCTCTTCCTCCTCTACATTCTCCAACCTAGAACAGGGGAGAATGTTACCCAAACTTAACAGTTAAAATAAATGAGAAACAAAAACTTACTAAATATCATCCACACATTTACTGCTTCCAGGTAATTTTATTTAAAGCGGTAGCATATCATAGCAATTACCTTGAACTATAAGATGTGTGGATGAATTTGGAACAACACAGATGGATCTTAAGGGTTATACTAAATGAAACAAGTCAGGTGGTAAAGGACAAAACTTTATGATTTCATTCATAAGTGAAATATTAAAAAACATGAATAAACAAAACAAGTTCATACATACAGACAACAGATTAGTGGTTAACCAGAAGGGAAGTGGGTGGAGGGGGAAATGGGTAAAGGGGTTTAATTATATGGTGACAGATGGAAACTAGAATTTTGATGGTGAGAATGCAATAGTGTATAAAATCAAATTATAATGTTGTATACTTGAAACTTACATTATTAATCAATGTTGCCCCAATAAAAATAATTCCATACTAGTAAAACAAATGAATTTAGTTAACTAGCAAAGTCAATATATTACAATTTACTTTTCAGCTTTTGCTCATAATGAAGTTACTCAGTAACAAGCTTTCTAGTGAACTTACATTCCAGTCAATATTTGCAAAAAACTGATGTCTTTTGATTTCCTCAACTCCTTCTGAACCTATAAAAACAGAAAGACTTTTTTTTACTGATGTAATTTTTAAGAATCTTTACACCTGGCTTTTAAGCTGTGATCTATAAAGAGCACTACACACATTTTATAGATTCCTTGTAGTGAAAGGTTTAAGACATCTCATATGATATTTTATTATAATTGCTTCTTTCAATTTAATATGAAAAATATTCAAATTGATGCACATAGTATAAAATAAAATATTGAAATGCCTTCCAAATTGAATCAAAATCATATTTAATACAACTTTAAATTTAAGTACATTTTCTTCATAGTTGAGCCTATGACCTCATATCTATAGACAAATATAAAACAACATAATAAAGTGACATTGAAATTTTAACATAAGGTCATAAATAGGATATATGAAAGAATTACATCTGGATCCAGGTTAAGGTTACCTGAAAGTGGCCAAGTAATAAGTTATGGAAACATAATATTTACATTTAATATTATTGGAAGGACAAAACAATTATCTTCAAATATCAAAAAGGATTACCTACTATACAATTCTGTGAACTATTTCAAAAAAAAGAAATGCATACAATATATATAATTATATTAAACAGAAATATTGAATAACTAGGCCACTCCATTTTTAAATCATATACATACAGAATTTACTGGAATCATTGCACATATAAAATGCAAAGTTCTAGGTATAAATATATAGCAGCAGTAAAAGATCTTAAGCCAGAAAACATAAAGTTATAATTATCATCTCAAAGCCTGCAGTATATTTATACAAAAGCTAAAAAAATAAACAATACCCAATCTATTTGCTGGATTCCTTTTGAATAACATCCTTAAAAGACTTTGTGCTTCAGCACTAAGAAACTGAGGCATTCCAAGCTTTGCTCTGGAAAAGAAGATTTTAGAAAATTTCATTAAAAACTAGCCACACTTTCTCAGTGATCTTGAGAAAGAAGAACAAAGTTGGACAAATATACTACCTGATATCAAGTATATTACAAGGCCAAAGTAATCAAAATAGCATGGTACTGACATAAAAACAGAAATATGTCACATGAACTCATATATGGAATCTAAAGAACAAAATAAACTGATGAACAAAATAAATCCAGAGACATAAATGCATGGAACAGAGTGTTGAATCTCAGAGGGAAGATGGGGGTGGGTGGGTGGGAAGAGATTAATCAAAAAACTTATTTGCATATATGTATAACCCATGGACACATACAACAGTATGGTAAAGGTCTGGGTCGGGGGACAGATGTAGGCTAGAAGAGAACAATGGAAGAAAAAGGGACATCTGTAATACTTTCAACAATAAAGATACATTTTTTTTAAAAGAATAAAAAACAGTCATATAGAATAATGGAACAAAATTGAGAGCTCAGAAATAAATCTACATCTTCATAATCAATTCATATTTGACAAATAAGACAAAAGCATACAATAGGTTTAAGTCTATTAAATAAGTGTTGCCTGGAAAAATTAGAGAGACACATGTTAAAAAATGAAACTATACCACTTTATTACACCACACACAAGAATAAACTCAGAATGGAATAAAGATTTAAATGTTAGCCTGGCTGGTATAGCCCAGTAGTCAACCTATGAACCAGGAAACCAGGAGGTTATAGTAGATTCCTGGTCAGGGCATATGCCTGGGTTGCAGGTTCAGTCCCCAGTGTGGGGTGTGCAGGAGACAGCAGATCAGTGATTCTCTCTCATCATTGATGTTTCTATCTCTCTCTCCTTCTCCCTTCCTCTCTGAAATCAATTATATATAATTTTTTAAAAGACTTAAATGTTAGACTTGAAACCCTTAAAATCCTAGAAAAAAACACAGGCAGTATAATCTTGTACATTTTTCATAGTGATATTCTTTTCTGATCTATATCTTTGAGCAAGGGAAACAAAAGAAAAAAATAAACAAATGGGACGACATCAAACAAAAAGTTTTTGCACAGGAAAGGAAACCATCAGCAAGATGAAAAGACAACAACACACTGAACAGAAAGAACATTATTTGCTGATACATCTGCTAAGGCCTTAATATCCAACATTTATAATGAACTTACAAAATGCAAAACCAAAAACAATACAATTAGAAAAATGGGTGAAAGACCCAAATAGGCACTTTTTCAAAGAGGACATACAGATGGCCAATACACATATGAAAAATACTCAATGTCACTGATCATCAGAGAAATGCAAATTAAAACCCCAAAGAGATATCATGTCATGCCTATTTGAGAGGCTATATTAACAAATAACAAGTGTTGCTAAGAATGTGGAGAAAAGGAAACCCTCGTGAACTGTTGGTGTGAATGCAGATTGGTGCGACCACTGTGTTAAGATCTATGGAGTTAACTCAAAAAATTAAAAATGGAACTGTTTATGAACCATTGATTCCACTTCTGAGAATTTAGCTGAAGAAATCCAAAACACAAATTTGAAAAAAATATATATGCACCCCTATGTTCACTGCAGCATTATTTACAATAGCCAGGATTTGGAAGCAGCTTAAGTATTCATCATCAGTAGATGAGTAGATAAAACAGCTATGGAATACTACTCAGTCATAAAAAAAGAAAAAGGAAATTTTACCTTTTAGGACAGTATGGATGGACCTAGAGAGCATTATACCGTGAAATCAGTCAGACCAAGACAAATACATATGATTTCACTCATATGTGGAACCTAATGAACAAAGTATAGTAATGAGCAAAATAGGGACAGATTCATAGAGAGCAGGCTGACAGTTTGGGGTGGGGCTTGGAGAGGGTGAAAGGATTGAGTGAAAAAAAAGACTAGAAAAATTCATGGACACTGACAACAGTGTGGTGATTGTAGGTGGCGTGGGTTGAGGTAGAAGAGTGTATAAGGAAGATAAATGGTGATAGAAAAAAATAATAAAATAAAGAAAAAAATGAAAGCAAGCAATTTTTCACATAAGAAAATAATATAGTGCTTGCACTTACTTTAATATCATATTCATGGTCTCATTTCTGTCTTTACCTTGAAATGGCAGTGTACCAGTAAGCATTTCAAACTGAAACAAACAAACAAACAATTTAGCACAACTCAGAGACTTGTAATACATGATCATCAAATCATACAGGATCTGCATGACAGTATATCAAAATAGGAGTAAAAGAACTAGGCACTTAAGGAAATATAATTCTGGTACTCTACTATATATAACTCAATTGGTAGATGATCTGTAGCAAATGAAACCAACCAATTTTTTTCAGTCTTGTTGGATTTTGGATTTGGTTAAGTTACCAAAGAAATCTAGAAATAAACACATTGTAGAAAAAAAAGATATGCTTTTAAAGCAAGCAACTGAACTGACAAAGGAAAGTAAAAATAAGCATAAAACCATTTCAAATTCATAAATGATCAAGAAAGATTTAACCATTTTTGCCCTGGATGGTGTTTTTAGTGGTTAGAGAATCGGCCCATGCACCAAAGGGTCCAGGATTTGATTTTTGGTTAAGGGAACATACCTAGGTTGTGGATTCCATCCCTGGGCCCAGTTGAGGTGCATTTGGAAGATAACCAATTGCTGTGTTTCTCTCAAATCTCTCTCTCTCTCTCTCTCTCTCTCTCTCTCTCTCTCTCTCTCTCTCTCTCTCTCTCTTTCTCTCTCTCTCTTCTTCTTCTTCCTCTCCCTCTCCCTTTTACTCTCCCTAAAAGCAATGGAAAAAAATCTTCTGGTGAGGATTAACAAAGAAAAATGTTTTAATTAATCTCTTTCGCCTCACATTTCTAAAAATAGAAACAAACAAAAAATAACCTACACACACACACACACACTCGAATAATTAAAGAAAACAAAACACTGACACAGTTGCAGATATCATAAGGAAACATTTTTCCTAAGAGATTTAATTGCAATGTAGACAACTAGAAAATTAATTAATGCTATAAAAATACTATGTCTAAAAATGAAGATCATCATAGTCCATTAAAATGTTTTTATATACCTAATACTAAAATCTTAAATAGATTCACTAATGGCTTTAGCCTCAGTCCTCTGTTCTTTTATGAGCTACAACCTTAATTATTAGCTTATCCATTCACTCTCTCATATATCCTTATGACTCTCAAATCTTATCCAGCCTCAATCTCGCTCAAGCCCCAGTTTTCCCTCCCATATTGATAGTAAAGGTTCTCAAGTGAAAACTGAAGTGGTAGCAATGGGAGTCAAAAGAGAGAAAAAAGAAAGCAATTGTGGTATAAGAGAATCATCTCTCTCAAGCTCCGGTCATGCATCCTCAAACCTTTGAAATGTCTTTAAACAAGCCCTGGACAGATAGCTAAGTGGATTAGAGCATGGTCCCAATACGCCAAGGTTGCTGGTTAGATCACTGGTCAGGGCATATAGAAGAATCAACCAATGAATGAATAAATAAGTAGAACAGCAAAGAGATCTTGTTCTCTCTTCCTTTTTCTCTCCCTGTCTTTGTCCCTTCAGGAGTTTGACCATGAGACCAGGAGTTCAATCACTCACTATGATGTGCACTGAGCACCAGGGTGTTGCTCACAACATGACAGCCGACCAGGAGAGGCAGTGGGGCTCTGGGAGAGTGAGAGGAGGAGGAGGCAAGGAGGCAGGGAGGCAGAGAATCTGATCTGCCTTGATTGCTGGCCAGGCCTAGGGATCTTACCCATGCACAAATTTCGTACACCAGGCTCTAGTACTCTATAATCTTACACTGTCTTGTAAGGAGACCTTGTTGATTTTCCTACTTCTAGATTCCTCCATTTACAATCTACTTACATAATTCTGTCCAGGTTCATCTTCCTAACATTGCTGTTTCCTATAATCAGCACCCTGTATAAGAATCTGCAAAAGTTTCCTGCCACAAAGAGAATTGCATGCAAATGCTTAAGGTTTATAGCCTCATTTCCTCCACTCTCACGTATTCTTCAATACTATTCTAGTCAACTGGTTCTCCTTGCTAATATGATAACAATATTATCCTTGACATGCATCTACTTACATTTTATCCATATTTCAGGGCTTAGTTTAAGTTCTCTCTTCCACTTTTCCTATGTCAACTTATATTAATTTTATCCTAAATTCCTACGGTACTTCTGGGCAATTTACTTAGCTACTCCTATTGTTTCCTAATTGGACTGTATGCCTTCTTAGGTCATGGAAAATGCCAAATAATGTACTTATAGTCTGTTCCCACACAACTGCCTTCCCCAAATGCCTGTTTTTAAATGGGTACTTAATATACTTATGTGTCATATTGAGTTTTATTCAGTGATAAATAGGCAAAATGTATAATCAAACTTCAAAAGCAAACTGATTCAATAGCTATTCATATATGATCCTAATTAACACTTCAAGTTACATGCTAAATCTTATACCAAATTAGTTAATTAGGATGCCAACTGTAATTAAGTATTAAGGGAGATAAAAAAGTAGTATAGCACATGATTGCTCTTCCCAAAAGGTTTATATTTTTTTCAAGGGACATGCTTGAAACAATTTGAGTATAAGAAAATATACAGTAAGGTATTAAATTTTGTGATAATTAATTAAAATGCCATATGATTACTAAACGGTATTCTGAAATCTAAAAACTGGTAGATGTTTTAATATTTTTTATAATAGTTGAAATGCAATCTTAAATTAGTTTCAAGTATATCACATAATGATAAACACTTATATACCTTAAAAGTAAACATCTGTCATTGTACAAAGTTATTCTGATATTATTGACATGCCCTATGTTGTATGTGTTATAATATAACACACTCATGACTTATTTTTTTGTAGCTCTTAATCCCCTTCACCTTTTCACCCACGCCCCAGTAATCTCCCCTTAGGCAACCACCAGTTTGTTTTCTGTATCTACTATCATTAAACCAATGAACAAAAAGCACTTGCAAGGACATAGAGAAAAGGGAATCCTAGTGCATTGTTGACCACACTGCAAACTGATTTAGCCACTGTGGAAGAGTATGGAGTTTCCTCAAAAAATTAAAAATGGAACTGCCTTTTGACATAGCAATCCTACTTCTGGGATCATATCCTAAGAATATCAAAACACCAAGCAGAAAGAATATATGCAACCCTATGATCATTGCAGCATTGTTTACAATAGCCCAAATCTGGAAACAGCCCAAGTGCCATCAGCAGATGGGTGGATAATAAAGCTGTGGCACATTTACAGAATGAAGTGCTACAAAGCTCTAAAAAAGAAGGAACTCCTACTCTTTCCAATATCATGGAGGAAACTGGAGAGTGTTATGCTAAACAAAATATAAACAGTCAGAAAAAGACAAATATAATCTGGAATCGAAAAAAAATAAAATGGCAAACAAATGGAACCAGAATCATAGATACATGGAACAGTCTGGCTGGTGCCCAAGAAGAAGGGGGGAGGGTGACTGGATAAAGAAGGTGAAGGGATTAGCTAAAGAATATATATGCACACTCCATGGACCCAGACAATAGGGTGATGAAGGCCAAGGGAGGGGAGGCACAGACAGGTGGAGGTGGGCAAAGTGAGGGAGTATAGAGGACCTGCAATTATATGAACATTATTTAAATAAATATTACTAAATTGAAAAAAAAAGAAATCAGAACACCAAAATCCTAATTCATATTGTACAACAGCTAGCCAAACACAACCTTTTAAATGATAATCATGAATTATTAGAACCCTATTCTCACCTGACACCTCACAAATTTTAAATTAAAATTCTATATTTCCATTTGTATTAAAAATTGATAGATACGTAATTAAAATTCTAAGCAGTATTAATTTTATATTAGCAAAAATATTTAAATAGCACTACTTACCATAAGTACACCATATGACCACCAATCAGCACTCTGGGAATGACCTCTCCTATTTACTACTTCAGGAGCCATATACTCCACCGTACCACAAAATGAGTAGGCCTTCTTTTCTTGATCTACCGATTCTTTGCTGAGTCCAAAATCTGTAATAACATTGTTACACAAAAAATATATCTGAAGATCTTCAGAAAATAGAAAATACCAAAAGAAACATAATTATGTATTTAAATTTTAAAATTATTCATGGATGAAGTGTAATTACTCTTAAGCTATGATACAAATAATGGAAAATAGGAGGTATTTAATAATAAGAGCATTTAAAGATTTCTTAGTTACATATCATCTCAAATTATATTTTCATGGCTATACTTGAATATCATTCAACAATTTTGAACTCTTACTCTTTCCAATATCATGGAAAGCTGTCATAGTTTTTAAAATGTAAGACAAAAAGAGATAATAACAAACTTTAAAATATAAAAAAGTTTATTTTGCTTTGGCTTTGGTGTTTTCTATTTTTGTTTAAGGACTTCAAAGAGCTAAAGGTATCAATACATAAAAATTTATTCTTATTTCTATGTATTAGCAATGAAAAAATAAAAGTTGAAATTTTAAAAGTACCATTTATAATACACCAACACACACACACACACACACACACACACACACACACACACACTTGAAATCCACAGGTCTAAATATAAAAAGTATATGCAAGATCTGTACAATGAAAACTCGAAACACTGATGAAAGAAATCAAAGTAGATCTAAGTATATGGAGAGATATGCTATGTGTATTGTATGATTTGGAAGAATCAATTCTGTTAAAGATGTCAATTCCCCCAAACTGATCTAAAGATTCAATTAAACTTTAATAAAATTCCAAGCAAGATTTATTTTCTAGAAATCACCAAGTTGAATTTAAAATTTATATTAAAAGACAAAGACAATAGAATAGCCAAACAATTTTGAAAAAGAATAATAAAATCAAAGGACTTACATGAACTAACTTCCATACCTATTATAAACCTACAGTAATCAAGACAGTATGGTATTGAAGAAAAGCTAGACATATAGATACAAATCACTGAATAGGGCAGTGTTCAAGAATAGACTGACACATACAGTCAGTTCTGCTAGCATGCTTGTTGTAAAAATGCAAATTTTATCTAATGGAATTGATACATTGGGAAGTAATTTGAGGATAACACAAATTTGAATCTCAAATTTCATGTGCATTTTGTTTGCAAGAAGCACTAGATAAAACACTAAAAATTGTATCTAGCTGATCCAAGTCAAATAGAAATACATACACACACCTCAAACATCTACCAATTATTTCAGCTCATCATGTGTGTATGAGTCATTCTGTTGACCTGTAGTGCTACACTTTACTCTCAATTCCAGATAATCTACCCTCCACTACTTTACAAGCTACAAACTTTCTTATGTTAACTCTTCAAGCAAATTTAAAGATTTTCCAAGTTAAGGTAGCATGTTTATTGTAGTATTTATATAATCTTAATGATTTAGAACATGTAAAACAAGGCTATCATTTTTATTCATTTCCTATATTTCTTGAACGTGTCACTGGTTATTTAGATTACTGCTAAACCTCTCACCCCATTTTTGCCATAAGCTATATTCTTTTTATTATGCAATAATGCATAGTGCAATAATTTTTAAGATCATAGGTGTTTCATTATAATGGAACTGGTTATATATTGTAAATTGACTTCTGACAAAGACTTAACAGCAATTCCATGAAAAAATGTCAGTCTTTTCAACTAATGGTGCCAGAACAATAGGATAGTGATATACTAGAAACACCAATCAGAAAGGATATATGCACCCCTATGTTCATAGTAGCACAATCTACAATAGCTAGAATCTGGAAACAGCATAGGTGCCTGTCAGCAGATGATTGGATCAAAAAACTATGTACATCTACACAATGGAATACTATGCTGCCATAAAAAGAAGGAATTCTCATCGTTTGCAGCAACCTCGATAGAACTAGAGAACATCATGCTGAGTGAAATAAGCCTGACAACGAAAGAGAAATACCACATGGCCTCACTCATTTATGGATATTAAAGAACATTATAAACTGACAAACCAAAAGTCAGATATAAAGATAGTAAAGCAACAAGCGGACTGTAAAATTACAGCGGGGAGAGTAGGGAAATCTGGGGGAGATAAGAGATCAACCGAAGGACTTGTATACATGCATATAAGTACAACCAATGGACACAAAACTCTGGGGACGGAGGGTATGTATGGGAGGGGGAGGCAATGTTAAAATATGTACACAGATAATAATTTAATAAAAAAAGGATAGTGATATAAAAATACATCCTCAAACCATACATAACCATTAACTCAAAATGAATCACAGAACTAAATGTGAAATGTAAAACTTAAAGTTGTAAAATTTCCAAAAGTAATATAAGATAAAATATTTGTGATCTTGGATTCGGAAAGAATTTCTTAGATACAACATTAAAAGTACAATTTATAAAAGAAAATGTTGAAAACTGAACTTTATGAAAATAAAAAAAAGCCTGCTTTTCAAAAGTTACCATTCACTAAATGTAAAAGAATCTATACATTGGGAGAAAACCTTTGCAATCACATATATGATAAATGACTTGTACCTCAGAGTATATTAAAACACTCAAAAATTCAATAATAAGAAAACAATTTTTCAAATGGAAGAAAGATCTGAACAGACATGTCTATAAAGAAATAAATACATGAGAAGATGATAATATCATTAGTTATTAGGGAAATGCAAGTTAAAACCACAATGAGATACTACTACATGCCTATTAGTAGAGCCAAAATAAAAAATGCTGGCAGTAACAATAATAGATGGATACAAAGCAACTGGAGCTCTCATACATTGCTAGTCAGTATGCAAAATGGTATAGGCACATTGGAAAACATTTTGGAGGTTTCTCCTTAAGGGAAACTTAAACTTACCACATGATGAAGCAATCCCACCTCTTTGGTATTTACTCAAATTAATCACTGAGATTTCCTTAGTACATATTCATTAAATTGTTTTGTTCTGGGTGTGCTTTTATTTTTAATATATTTGTATTGATTTTCCACAGAGAGGAATGAAGAAAGATAGAGAGCTAGAAACTTTGATGAGAGAGGCATCAACCAGGTGCCTCCTGCACACCCCCTACTGGGGATGTGCCTGCAACCATTGTACATGCCCTTGACCAGAATCGAACCCGAGACCTTTCAGTCCGCAGGCTGACGCTCTATCCACTGAGCCAAACCAGTTTCAGCTGTTCTGGGTGTGCTTTTAAAAATTAAAGTTTCAGTAAGCAGTCTTATGGTCACACAAATATACTGCTCTATGGCCCCCACCACCAAAAAAAAACTTTTATTTAACTGATTTCTATATTTTATTTTTATTTCAAATTAGTGACTTGGAAAAACCACGGATTAATATATATATATTTTTAAATCTTATAGCTGACACTTAATATTGTAAAAATAAATGTTCAGTTCATTGCTGAGCAAATTCTAGTGTTAAGTATAATTTTTCTTAAATTGTATATTTTGAGACTACTGCAAATTTACTGCAGTTATATGAAATGCTACAGAGATCCTGTTTACCCTTCACCCAGTTTCCCCCAAGGTGACATCTTACAAAAACTATATTACAATATCACAACCACAATAGTGATGATGATGCTGACAAGATGCATAATAATTCCCATAAAGATCCAAAGAGTAAGTTTTACTCTGTGTAAGTTATCTCTTTATTCTGTAAATAAAGAAAGCTATAAGCCTAAATTGTTTTATAAAATATCAACATTAATACTTAATTTTCGAGGCCCTAGAAACTTATTTTCTAATCATGCTCAATATTTCCATTGAATTAAAATAAGCCAGTCAGTGAAAGATAAATACCACATGATCTCACTCATTTGTGGAATATGAAAAACATTATAAACTGATGAACAAAAATAGATACAGAGGCAAAAAAAGCATTGAACAAACTATCAAACTACAGTGGGAAGGCAGGGGAGGGAGGGTAAGATATCAACCAAAGCACTTGTATGCATGCATACAAGCGTACCAATGGATGCAAAACACTGGGTGAGGGCATGTGCTGGGGGTGGGGTGGGGGGGTAGGAGAGGCCTGGGAGAAGTCAGTGGGGAAAAAATAAGACATAAGTACTACTATTTATAACACTTTAAACAATAAAACATATTTTATTTTTTAAAATATATTTTTTATTGATTTTTTACAGAGAGGAAGGGAGAGACATAGAGAGCTAGAAACGTCGATGAGAGAGAAACATCGACCAGCTGCCTCCTGCACACCCCCCACCTGAGATGTGCCCGCAACTAATGTACATGCCCCTGACCAGAATCGAACCTGGGATCTTTCAGTCCGCAGTCCAATGCTCTACCACTGAGCCAAACCGGTTTCGGCAATAAAACATATTTTAAAAAGGTAAAACAAGAAAAGAAACATAACTATTTTTGATAACTGAATATACTATGATTTTCAGTGTATTTTAAAAAATATTTTCAATGTTCTACTATGTTATTTCTCTACATTTTGTGACTTCTTAAACTCTACACAACCAATTTCAAAAGTAAATGTAATAAAAGTTCATCTTAAAGTTTAATTCAGCTGAATATGACAACCCTGTAGAGAAGAACATTGACATTGTTGGACATTCCAGAGAGAAGAAAGGGAAGGGAATTTTCTTATCCTTTTTTACTTTTCAGAGATTTATGCCATTTCACAGAGGGCTTTTGTGGTACTATGTCTTAATTTTTTTTTTAATCCAGTATCCCCACTACTCTATATAAAAGCTGTATAATATGACTTCACTGGTTTATAAAAATGTTTATTCATAATATGCCATTACAAATTATAAGTTGAATAAACATTTTTATAAACCAGTGAAGTCATATTATACAGCTTTTATATAGAGTAGTGGGGATACTGGATAAAAAAATTAAGACATAAAGAGATTATAAATAATATACTAGCAAATATACAGATATGTTGGGGTATCCACTCTCATTCCACTCCAATACTTCTGCTATACAAGCATAATCATAGTATGAGGTACATCAAGGTCAAAGCACAATCATATTACGG